GCGGGGGGGCGCCCGTGCCCAAAAAAAAAAACCCTAAAAAAAAAAAAAAAAAAAAGAATGCCTGGTGTGAATTTTAAGCCACTGGAACTGGGACTCAAATGGCTGGCCGTTGACTGTGTGGGAGTCCAGTGACTTAACATTATGCCATCTGCTGGTCATACCTAGTGTTAGTTTTAAGCTGCTGGGACTTAAACCGCTGTCAACTACATGGGAGCCTAGCAACATAACCATTACACCATCTACTGATTTCAAACTTTGGAAATTCTAAAATACATGCAGAAGAAAAAGAGCACCAATTTGCTGGAGATCAGATTCTTGTAGCAGATAATCTATACTGAAAAGTTTCAGTTTTGCCTACTGATAAAGTATGTCTACTAGGGGCCATCAGGTGGTGTGGTAGTTAAGATGTTAGATTCCCATATGGCTGACTGCAGTTCAAGTCCCAGATCAGGTGACTTGAAAATCATGCTGTGCATGTGTGTGTGTGTGTGTGTGTGTGTGTGTGTGTGCAAGATCCCGAAAGGAGGATGAAGGAGAGGGGACTACAGTGTGGCCACTCCTCCTGGGAGGTGATTTCTCACTTTCCCTCTCCCCGTCTCTCTCTGGTGAGCACACATACCCTATGGGAGGATAAAGTGTGTGTATGGTTGGGGGCTAATGAAATGCTTTTTCCCTTCAGGCTAATGTAATCCTTGAATATTGTATTGATGAAACTCAGGCATTGTTGGAAAAGAAAGTATTGACTTCCACAAAGAATCTTTTTTCTTTTTAAGAATCTTGATTCTCTTAAGGAAAACCTTGACTGTCTTCGAGATCAATTTACTACCACAGAAGTCAATATGGCCAGGGTTTATAATTGGGATGTGAAAATAATAAACAAAGATGATTTTACCGAGAATAAAGCATAATCCTGGCAATTAGAAACATTGTTTTCCAGACACATTATTTTAAATTTCCTAATGTCTATTATTTTTAAAAATATTTTTAAAGAATTATTTTATTTAACTTTATTTATTTATTTATTTTAATTTGACCAGAGGGGGACAGTTCAGGACTCGAACCGTGATTGGCCATGTGGGAATTCTAGCACCTTAACCACCATGCCACCTGCTGGCCCCAACAACCTTGAATGATTTTTAACAGTAAGAATGATGCCTAAAACCTAAAACAAACAAACAAACAAAAAACTCCTTTTATTTATTTATAAAAGCAAAATGTTTTGATATTTTTAAACTAGTATTTTTTTCTCATATTTCCAAGCAAAGTTAATGCTGCTTTCATCATTTCTTTTGTCTGTCATAAGAAGACACTGAGCTGAAATGGCCGAAAACTGTGAGGTATTCTCTGGACACTAGCCTGGTTAACTTCTTCTTTCTTGGCTGATATTACTCTCACTTGAGGTTGCATTGTTTGAGAAGTAGGAAAGACAGACAGTTTGAATATTTGTACTTATTTTTCTTTAGCACTTGGGGGATTTCATGATCCTCCATTGCTGTTACTTATCTTCTGTAAATGGGCTTTTGTAAATGACTGCTTAACCAATGACTATTATATTATGATAGCCTGGGCTTTGCAGGAAATGGTAGTTTGCCTTCCTACATAGTAAGAGGGCTATAGAGACAACATTTTTTCTAACCCCAAGTAAGTGCATAGTGTCTTTGCGATGCCAGCATAATGGAGATCTTGGCCAATGTGAAATAATATCCCTTCAATACTCTTGGCTAAAATGATTTTCTATTTCTCAACAGTTCTCCAAACAGCTTGAACAGAATATTATTAAGATCTGTATAAATCTGCAATGGTTGAAGTGAGTCATGAGCTTTTTTTATTCATGATAAAACCTCATAGGAATAATAAAAAATAAAATCCCTGTGTATAGCCATTGGGGTACAGTGGCTAGTATTGGGCAATACAGATTCTGGTAAAAACACAAGTGTATGATTTCATCTCCTTGTAGTAAGAAGCATACTTGTACAATGTTTTGTACTTGTACTTCATGATATTAAAACAGTGATGTCAAAACTGAAAGAAAAAGATGACAGTGTAGGTGGATAAGTAGGGAGAGAAGGAAAGCATGATGTTGTTGATTACACAAAGATTATATTAGGAGGAGAAGGCAGAAATACTAATGCTACTGAGTGCCTATTTTGTGTCATACTGTGTTCTAAGTAAAATCACTTAGTCCTCACAACCATCCTATGAAAAAGTAGTTATTTTATCATAAGAACAAACAGCTTTACAGAAACAGAGAGCCATGTTAGAGTGAAAAAAAAATAGACAAACAGTTGCTCATGCACAAGATCTAATATGCGGCCTTTTACAGTATTTCCATTTTAGATCTAAAGAAGCTGAGATCCAGAGAGATCAAGTAACATGTCAAAGGTTGCATGCTTTAGTAAGAGATAAAGAGAAGGTATTTAGGGAACCAGCAGTTAGCGTAATGGCTATGTCGCTGGACTCCCACGTAGTCGACTGCGGTTCGCGTCCCGGACCCGGTGGCTTAAAACTCACGCCGGGCGCGTGTGCGTGCGTGCCCATGATCCTGAGAGGAGAATGGAGGAGAAGGGATTGCGGCGTGACCATCCCCCCTGGGGGGTGATTTCTCGCTTTCTGTCTCTATGTCTCTCTCTGTCTGTCTGGCGAGCGCACGCGCCCTATAGCGAAAATCTCTCTCAAAAAAAAAAAAAAAAAAAAAGAGATGGTATTTAGAAAGCAGAGCCAAAAATCTCTCTTGAAGGATTTAATGAGGGAGATAAGGTTAACTTGTTATGCAGCTTTTCTATGTTCTTACCTCATAGCTGCTAATAGGAATTCAGGTCACATATTTTTCTTGGAATTAATTTTCATCCTATGATGGTTTCAATGTGTCCCCCAAAAGATTCATGTGTTGAAAATTGTTTGTTATTGTGAAGGGATTAAAAGAGTGGAAATGAAACTGTAGTGTGGAGGTGAGGTTTTTAGGAAGTGATCAGGCACCAGAGTGGGATCCCCATGATTGGATGCTTGTGGGTTTATAAGGAAACAGAAACATGGATACAGGCACATGTGCTCTTGTCTCACCACATGATGCCCTGTGCCATCTCAGAACTCTGCAGAAAAGCCTCTGTCATCACCAAGAAGACTCACTGGATGCAGCTCCTTGACATTGGAATTCCAAAAATATAATCTGAATAAACCTCTATTATAAATGAGGCATACTCAAGACATTCCATTAGTAACACCAACAGACTACAACACATCCCTATCTCCTTCATTCCTGAACAGTACTATAGTTTCTGATCTTTCAATAATCATCTTCACTTAACAGTGTAGCCCACATTCTCAAGTACCAGATTAAATTAATATATTGTATTTCTTTCAGGAATCCAAAAATCGGACTAAAGATCACTAACCTTCATCAAATACAGCAAAAAGTAGTACAAACTCATGCAAGGTTTGTGTTCTCTCCTTGGTCAGACTTCCTGAAAAAGAAGAGAATTTATCTTCTATTTAAAAATCCCATCATAGGAAATTGCCACTAGGAGGAGACATTTCTTCATCAACTGCTTGAGAATAAGTCCTAATGTAGTTAACTTTGCCTTAACATTGTTCCTTTGATGTAGTCTCCTGTATCAGAGTTTTTAAAACTACGTAGGGTTAAGACATTTTTTTTACTTCACATTTATTGCAGACCACTACTTTTGCAAAATACAGTAAAAATGAGCTACCAGACAAAGTTAAAAAGATACATGAGGGGCCAGCAAGTGGTGTGGTGGTTAAGACAGCTGGACTCTCACGTGGCTGACCATGGATCAAGTCCCAGACATGGCAACTTGCTTTCTCACTTTCCTTCTCTCTCCTTGTCTCTCTCTCTGGTCAACTTCAATAAAATAAAATATAAAATAAAGACAATGAATAAAATTTTTTAAAGAATTATTTATTTAATTTTATTTATTCTCTGTCTCTCTCTGGTCAACTTCAATAAAATAAAATATAAAATAAAGACAATGAATAAAATTTTTTAAAGAATTATTTATTTAATTTTATTTATTCTCTGTCTCTCTCTGGTCAACTTCAATAAAATAAAATATAAAATAAAGACAATGAATAAAATTTTTAAAAGAATTATTTATTTAATTTTATTTATTCACTCATTTGTTTTAATTTTATCAGAGGGAGAGAGAGAGAGAGAGAGAAACAAACCATCACGTGTGGGACTCGAACTGTAGTTGGCCATGTGGGAGTCCAGCACCTTAACTACTACTCCATCTACTGGCCCCTTCGTGCACACACACGCAAATATGTGTGTACACACACACATATTCATCATAACTGAGAAAAAAATTTGCAAGAACAGTACACATTGCTTGTGGAATATGCACATATAGAAAATTCATATAAATAATTTCTATTACTCTTATAACTTTTTATACCTCTGCAGTTGTTAATAAAGTAAATATTAAGAGTGAAATAAAAATTGTCCATACTGAACACCTATTTGCATATTTTAAATGAATGCTATATATATCAATATTTAAAGTTTTAATGGTACAAATGAGCTGGCTTCATGTTTTAACTGCTGAGTGTGTTGGCTGTCTTTTTAGCATATTTCTTTGTTTTTAATTTTGTCAGAACTGTGTACTTACTAGAGAATGACAGAGAGAAAGGGAAAGTGAGAAAGCAACCCTTATAAGCATCCTTTATGATCATGCTATCATTCCTTCGCCTCCACTTCTCCCTCCTTTCAGGATTTTGGGCATACACATGTGTACCTGGTGTGTTTCTCAAGCTGGCTGTTCTGGGACTAGAACCATGCAGTTGCCCATGTAGGATTCAGCTACCGTAACCACCCTGCTGTGATCAGCTGATCCTATTTCTTTATTTGATTGGGAAGTTTTGTTTGCAGGCTTATTTTGAGTAATAAAGATTTTTGCTTGTGACATCTCCGTTTCTTTCTCTCTCTAGCACCCTTAAAATTTTGAAATAAAAATGAGCTTAGACTAAGAAAGTAACAAAATGTGCTGCTGCTCATCAGACTGGGATAAGAGATAAAGTAGCTGCAAAGTAAACAGTACTTTCTCCCAAGGACAAAATGCCACTGTACAAACTCACTCAAAGACAACTTTTCTTACTTATTCAACTGAGTTTGTTCTCTAAAATTATAGCCTGTCAGGGCACATGCGCTCGGCAGAAAGACAGAGAGAGACAGAAAATGAGAAATCACCCCCCAGAAGGGATGGTCACACTGCAATCCCTTCTCCTCCATTCTCCTCAGGATCTTGGGCACGCACGCACATGTGCCCGGCATGAGTTTAAGCCACCAGGTGCGGGACTCAAACCACATTCAACTACTGGGAGTCCAGTGACATAACCATTATGCCATTTGCTGGTCCCTCTAGTTGTTTTATATATTATACCTACAGACATTAAAAACCTCTTCACTGGGACCAGCAGATGGCATAATGGTTATGTCGCTGGACTCCCATGTAGTTGACTGCAGTTCAAGTCCTGGACCTGATGGCTTAAAACCTACACCAGGCGTGTATGCATGTGTGCCCAAAATCCTGAGAGGAGAATTGAGGAGAAGGGATTGTGGCATGGCATCCCTCTGTGTGTGTGTGTTTTGTGTGATTCCTTGCTTGCTGTCTCTCTACTTCTCTTTGTCTCTGCAGTGAGCACATGCACCCTATAGTAAAAATCCCTCTAAAAAATCACACAATGTTGTATATTTGCATTCAACCACTAAATAGTAGTATTCCCATCCAAGTGTCAAGTTGTGCTTTTAAAAAATTATTTTATTTGTTTATATTTACATTTAATCACTGAGTATCTTTACAGTATACAACATGGCTTTTTTCAGCATGAATACAGTGCATATCAGTCAAGAGAAAGACATTATCATTTACATTATCATCAGCAAATAACTTTACATTTTTGTGTCAATTAAGTGTATTATTTTCCCCCTGTTCCCCTCCCTCTCTCCCTCCATTACCCAACCCTGTTTTAACCCTACCTCTAGTATCTACAGTTGCCTCCTTACTACTATACCTTCCAAACTTTCAGGTTCTGCTATAGAGCACAGACATTTTGTATATATTGAGTGAGGACATACAAAGTCTGTCTTTTATAGTCTGGCTTGCTTTGCTTAGCATTAAATCTTCCATATTCATCCACTTTGTATCAAATGTCATGTATCAAATGTCAGGATCTCATTGATTTTTTACAGCTGAGTAGTATTCCACAGGGTACATATACCACATCTTTTCAATCCAGTTTATTTTTGGACATTTGGGTTGATTCCATGTCCTAGCAATTATAAATAATGCTGCAATAAACATGGATGTGCAAGTGTTTCATTAAAACATTAAAAGGTTGGGGAATACTAGAGGTAGAAAAAAAGGTAAGCTCCCCATCAGTTTGGTGGTACTTTAAATTCTGGTACCTTTTCCAATATCCGTGTGTTCTATTTGATTTTTAGAAATTTTAAGCAACTGGGATGTACAGTTTTACAAGGTTTTTATAGCTGAGCTCAGTGGGAGATAAAGGGTGGAGTGTGTTTACTCCATCTTACTTATAATTAGAACCTTTGTTGAACTTTTAATTCAATTACTTATCAAAGAATTACTTTCGTTTTACACCTATTTCTTTATATGCTATATATAAATGTTTATATTTGTATTATTTCAGTAACCATTACATCTCAAAAATAGCATACTATGGTTTTAGTACTTTGTCATTAATTATGGCTATGAAACTAAACTCACTATAAGAGAGATCATACTTTCAAATAAACTGTTAGAAACAACAAACCCTTCTGGTCTTCATATCCCCATCCCTCCCTTTTTCTGAATCATATTTATCACAATCATTCAGAAAAGGTACAGTAGTTCATGTTCATAATAAATTCTTTACCTATGCTCCATCAAAAGGTGGAGTCCACTTATATAGATTAGCCTCATTGATCTGCACTAACAGATACAATGTAATGAATCATGTTGCATGATTGTTCAGATTAGATTAGAAAAGGTGATATAGTTTCCAATGGACTTTCTCAGAAGCATGTAAAAAGTCTAGCTACCCAGGACCAGGAAGTGGCATGGCTGTTAAGGGTGCTGGACTCCCACGTGGTCAACCATGGTTAAAGTTCTAGACCTATTGGCTTGCTTTATCACTTTGTCTCTCTCTTGCTCTATTTTTTTCTGTGTCATTACTTTTATTTTTAATGTCCAGAGCTTGAAGGACAAGGACCAGAGCTTCCCTCCAGATGCAAAAATTTTATAAATTATCAATTGGCTAGTGAGGCCAGTAGGGGTACTTCTTATCTAATGCAGTTCCTGGGAAGACTTCATTCAAGTCCTCAATGGTCATCTGATCAAATGGAATTATGTTCTTCATCTTCTCCAGCTGTTTCTGATATTCTTCAATCCTGGCCTTTGAGAGGGACACAAACTCAGCACAACTTTTCACGTCTTCCTTTTCTTCAGCGTCCACCTGGACAGTGTATTTATCCTCTGGCACAAGAACCTTCAGGGCATTAAACTTCTTCTCCAAGTCACCCAAGCCTGCCTTGGCCACGTTGGCTTTGTAGTATGCTCAGTCGATAGCTGGCAGGTTCTCAGGTAGTGCAGCCAATCTGGGGGTGAGGGTCTCATTCCAAGTTTTCAGGGAATTAGCAATAGCCTTTTGGTTTCGGGATATTATTTCCCCAGAAGCTATCCAGTCAATAGTTTTTAGGGCAAATTTTCGCCCAGACATCTTGCAATCCTTCACCGACCCTCCCCCTCTCTCTCTCTTACTCTCTCTCTCTCACTCTGTCCCTCTCTGATCAAATTAAAAATAAATAAATAAAGTTAAATAAAATAATGCTTTAAAAATTAAAAATCTGGCTACCTTATGGTATAACACATATTCTGGAGAGACCATGTTGGGAGAGCTCTAGCTATTTGAGTCTTGCAAGTCTAAGTGACAGACATGCAAATGATGATCTCAGGTCTGGCTACAACCTTGAAAAACATCCTGCAATAGACCACAAAGACAAGACAATTACAAATTTTATGAAATCCATAAAAACAGGTTTTTTTTTTTTTTTTTTTTTTTTTTTTTTTTTTTTTTGCTATAAGATATGTGTCCTCACCAGAGAGACAGAAAGCAGAAGCTTGGGCACACCAACTCACCAGTTTGGGACACAAACCACAGTCGATTACATGGAAACCGGTGCCTTAACCACCTGCTAGCCCCCAATACTTGTGTTTTAATCTACTCAATTGTGGAGTTATACCATAATTGATAACTGGAACAAAAAGAGGTCCAGTGAAACTAATTTCAACATAAAATATAGGGTTAAAACAAATTACGTGGGACCAGCAGATGGAGTAATGGTTACATTGCTGGACTCCCATGTAGTCAACAACAGTTCAAGTCCCAGACCAAGCAGCTTATAATTCCTGTTGAGCATGTGTGCATGCAAGCTCAAAATCCTGAGAAGAGAATGGATGACAATGGATTGCAGTTGTGCCCATCCTCCCTGGAGGCTGATTTCTTGCTTTCTGTCTCTCTGCCTCTCTGTGTGTCTCCAGTGAGTGCGCATGCCCTATAGCAAAAATCATTAAAAATAAAAAAGGCAAAACAACAAATTAGGCAAAATGTACTTTTTCTAATTTAGTTTATACTATTAAGTTATAAATTAAAAATAGAGTTGACTAAAATTAAAATTTCTTTTAGAATAACAAATTATAAGTATTAATGCTTACTTTTCTCTGATTTTTATACTTTCAGTTTACACATGACAAACTAACCACCTGAACCCTGTTCACCTCTATAGAGCTTTCAAGGAATGTAGTTCAAAACTTACAAAAGGTAAAGAACAGTAGAAATCACTACTGTGAGAATCTACAGATTTGAAGTGGAAAATAGCAATGCTTTGAAAAGAGAGACCTAATTCTGGGTTTTGGCTGCTCTTGACCTCAGTTTAGATTTCATTGTGGTTATATAGGATGGATATTTGCTCCTTTCAGAAACCAGGTTATTTTCCTTTCCATGATCATGATGCTAAGGGAAAAAGCCTCTTTCAAATGAAAGAATACAAATGATAACTGTTTTGAATAGATCCAGCCGTTTGTATTTCTTATTTCATCTCATTCCTACCCCCTCTTACACTTACCTTCTTTACACACCAGCAGGGCTCCAATAAGGCCTGAATTCAGGTCTTTCACCAGGTCCACATGAGAAAGATAAGAGTAGGTGAGACAAGGTGGGTCAGAGGCCATTGGACCATTCTCTTTCAGCACCTGCCAGACATATGTAAGGCTCTCACCAGGAAAGACTTTATCATCTTTCTTCTCCCTTTGACAGGTCTGATCATCATATTCAGCTCCTAAAGCAAGTAGGAATAAAATTGTCCTTATATGTTCATTGTCTCACTTGAAAAGGCATGTCAAGCTTATTGTCACCAATAGAGCCTAAATAAGAAATAGACTATATGAGACTTAATTTGAAAGAGATGTATAGATGGGGAAATTACTCTTGGGATTATATTGCTAATTTTTTCTTTCCACTTTTTTAAATTTACATTTAATCACTGTACATGTTTATAGTGTACAAAATGATTTTTACCAGAATGAATACAGTGCATATTAGTCAAGTCATAGATATTAATTACTATATACATTATCATCAACAGATAACTTTTCATTTTTATTTCTGTTTTTCTTTTTTCCTGATCCCTTTCCTCCCACCCCTTAACCACCTCCTCCTATACTGCCTCTGGTATTCACAGTTGCACTCCCTGCTATTGTACCTTCCAGCCTTTCCGTTTCTGCTATAGAGTGTGTCATATTGTATATAAGTGGGGTGTACAAAGTCTGTCTTTTATAGTCTGGCTTGCTTCATTTAGCATTAAATCTTCTATGTCTGTCTACTTAGTGTCAAATGTCAGGATCTCATTGTTCTTCAAGGCTGAGTAGTATTCCATAGTGTATATGTGTAGCATTTTAAAATTCAGTTTATGGACATTTGAAGTGATTCCATGTCTTAGCAGTTGTGAATAATGGTGCAATAAACACAGATATGCAAGTGTTTATCTGACTGAATGTTTTCCTATCCTTTGTATAGATGACCAGCCCCAGAATTTATTTATAAGGTTGTATGATAATTCTATTTGTAGGCTTTTTCTTTTTTTAAAGAGTTGTTTGCTACAGGGCACGTGCACTTGCCAGAGAGAAACGCAGAGCTAGAAAGCAAGAAATCACCTACCAGGGGAATGGCCATGCTGAAATCCCTCCTCCTCCATTCTCCTCTTCCATTCTTCGGGCATGCATGCACACATGCCCAGTGTGTTTTAAGCCACCGGGTCTGGGACTCAAACCTTGGTTGACTACGTGAGAGTCCAGCAATGTAACCATTATGCCATCTGCTTGTTTCTATTTGTAGGTGTTAGAGGAACCTCCATATGGTTCTCTACAGTGGCTATACTAATTTACATTCCCACCAATAATGTAGGAGGGTTCCCTTTTAACCACAGCCTCACCAGCATTTATCATTCTGTATTTTTTTTTTAATCTTAGCCTTTCTGACTGGGGTTAAGTAGTATCTCATTATGGTTTTGATTTGCATTTCCCTTATGATAAAAGATGTTGAGCATTTTACCATATACTTTTGGCCATCCATATGTCTCCCTTGGAGAGTTGTCTGTTTAGATCATTTGCCCATTTGTAAATTGGAATGTTTTATTTTTGTGTGTGTATAAGTTGCTTGATTGAGTTCCCAGTATATTCTGATTATCAATCCCTTATCTGAGGCATACTTTATAAATATATTCTCCCATTCTGAGGATTGTATCTTCACCCTAATTATTGTTTTTGTTTGTTTGTCTTTTGCTACACAGAAGCTTTTTAACCTGATGTAGTCCCACTTGTCTATTTTGGGGATTATTGCCTGTGCTTTGGGGGTCTTTTTAAGAAGTCCTTGTCTCTTCTGAGTTTTCCACCAGTAGTTTAATAGTTTCAGGCCTTGGGTTTAGATCTTTCATCCATTTGAGCTGATTTTTGTTAATGGTGAGAGATAAGGGTCAAGTTTAATTTTTCTGTAGGTGAATATCTAGTTTTTCTAGCACTATTTACTGAATAAATTTTCCTTCACACTTCCTCCCCTCCAGATGGTCTTGTTCCCTTTGTCAAAAATCAGTTGGTTCTATGCTGAATGTAGTAAATTTTTATCAAAGTTAATGGATCAGTTAGAAGCTCTTAAACAGTTGGGCGATAATGAAGCTATTACTCAAGAAATAGTTGGTTGTGCCCATTTGGAAAATTATGCATTGAAAATGTTTTTGTATGCAGACAATGAAGATCGTGCTGGGCAATTTCATAAAAACATGATCAAGTTCTTCTACACTGCAAGTCTTTTAATAGATGTCATAACAGTATTTGGAGAACTCACTGAAGAAAATGCGAAACATAGAAAGTATGCAAGATGGAAGGCAACATTTATCCATAATTGTTTAAAGAATGGGGGGACTCCGCTGCGGCCGAGCCTGCGCAGCCGGGCCTCTGTTCCGCGTTCAGCAGCCTGGGCCACCCGGCCCCCGCTGCCTCTCCGGTGCTGGGTGCGTCCCACGCTCCGCCCGACCCAGGCCAGCGGTGCGGACCAGCTGAGGTCACCGTCCTTCCTTTCTCTGGCCGGGCGGGCCAACGGGAGGTGGCGCTGGGTCCCGCGCACATTTGCTTGCTTGGGGGCTGACGTGTGGCCGCAGGGCCTGCGCGTGGCCACAGGGCCTGTGTGCATGGTCGCCGGGCCGGGCCTGCGCCTGCGCGTGGCCGCTGGCCACAGGCAGGCAAAGGAAGGCGAAAA